ACACACACACACACACACACACACACTTAATATTATATACATATGTATATAAATTCTCAGCTGTTTGAGGGCATCAGGCGTATTACACCCTGAACTGGTAGCCAGCCAATCACAGGGCACATATAGACAAACAATGATCCGCACTCACAATCAAACCAAGTGTTCAATTAATCTACGGTGCATATTTTTGGAATGTGGGAGGAAACCAGAGTACCCGGATAAACCCCACGCAGGCACACGGAGAACATGAAAACTCCACACTGGAAGGCCCAGAATCGAACCCATGACTTCTGCACTGTGAGGCGCATGTGCAACCATGTCTTTTTTTGGTCAAATTTTGGCGAAAACATGCACACACACACACACACACACACACACACACACACACACACACACACACACACACACACACACACAAACAGGATCAGTCAAAAGTGAGCAAGATATTATTTTTGTAAATTATAATTTGTTATACCCATCTTATTCACCGGATTTATTTCATTGTCCTTGTTTTTTGCTTGTGTTCATTAGTTTGGTGTAAGTTTAGTTCAAAAGGAAATGAAAAGCTCTCACCTGGTCAAAGAGTAGAAAAACACCATCTGAGCCAAGTCAGAGAAAGAAAGACGAGACTCCGACAGCTGAAAAACTGACAGAAAAAGAGCGGGCAATGTAAAAGCCTCAACAGTTTACTAAATACTTTACTGTAACAGTAAGTTAAAAAGTGTCAACTAGTTGAGGTTCAGAGAGAGAGCTTCTCCATGCATTTTCACACAATGATTTTAGGTCTGTTGTGACAAGTGTTTTGTGCATGTTACAACAGTAAAATGAAGCTTCTTTTTGGGAGGGCCTTTTGCAAATTATGAGTAAAACCAATTTTGGAGCTAATAAATCTGATGACATTACAGTAGATTATAAACTCTAAACAAATTACCAATTAGAATTAAATACAGAAATAGTACCCGTAACTGACACTATGCCTTTTAATACGGTTGCGCCGTGTGGTTATGAAAATACGGTAGCCAGGAGCGTTACAATTTTAGCCACATACGGCTAACTTGTGTCTTACATTACCGCAACTTTTTGAATTTGTAGTTATTCAGTTGTCATTTAGTGTATTCTTTTGTAGATGTTTTAATGATGAAACAAAACAAAAAACAACCTGAATTTATAGGATTTTGTTTTGTTAGGGTTGTTTTCCTCTTTGAGAGAGGATGAAGTGATGGCCATCTATCAAACTCATTGATTCAATCAGATACTGTTTGTATACTCCTAATAATCCGATCCGATCTGCCTCGTAGTTTGTCCATACCTTTGGCTGTGCATGAAATATTATACTCAAGAAGAGCTTCATCGTCTCCTCCCGAAGACACACACAGGAAGCTGGGCAGCGATGTCACACAATCTCTCACCACCACAAAACTCTAGAGGGGGACAGTGACTCATTTCAGCCTTTTGAAATGTGGCTGAAAGCACATTGAGGAAAAACGTGACAAACACCACTTGAGCAATGAGAAAAAACGGAAGGTGAGCAGAAAATGATTGCAGCGAGCGAGCGGGTTTCATTTACTCTTGAAAGTGAACCGTGACGTTACATTCGTTGCTGGAACTTGAGCGGGGTAAAAGCCCCGCTCGTACATCCTGGTTGGAATCCAGTTGCAGCAAGCGTCTCCAACATTTTCCCTTTTTTTTTTACAGATATTCATAAATGTAAACATGTAATGTATTCAATGATCAATATTTTTTCAAGATCAATAGCACATACGCCAGCACTCAACCTCTGATGGTCTCAGCCATTAACATGTCTGAGTCTCTCCTCAGAGACTTCACATACTCTACAAAGGTTGTTGTTGGGTTTTTTTTTTTTTTTGGAGGGCTCTCACTTCAAGAGAGTCATCATACATTATAGATGCAATATGGTATCCGCACTAAGGACGGATTTTGAATATGGAAATGAGCTGCTTTTGACTTTTTGCAAAATTGGGAAACAGTGATGGATGTTGACTCATCATTGTCCAGACTGAAACATCAACACTCTAACTTCAATAATTGTACTTTAGGATTGCATTTTGTCCTCATGATGACAACGCGTGCCATCGGAGTTTTGAACGCTTCCAGTATCTTGATGACATAACCAGAGATTACAATATACATATCGAAGCATTAAATAAACAACCAAGTTACCGTAAAAGGAGCTCGCCTTGACAACAATCTGAATATTCTTACATTTATTTAACAGCAATATCGACCGGCGATATGCTGTATTTGTATTTCATTTTATATGACTTGATTTGAAATGTTTAACAATGGCCGAGAAACAAGAATTGTGCGCTGAGAAGCAAGATCAATTTTCTGTACATAGCGCTCCGTTCGCAGTCTTGCATCACGGCAACTTTGCTGAATGTGTAGTTACCCACACACAGACAGGAAGTGGCTTTGTACTCACCATGAACAGGAACAGAGACAATTCTTCTCAAAGCAACCAAGTACCGAATGCATTCAGAGACACCGCATAGTGATTATATGTGCGTGTCACAATCTAAATAGCTGGCTCAGAGTTTCCCCGTGTTTCCTCCAATATTAAGCTAAAACGTCTTTACTGTTACTTGTAATCACTTTCCATATGCAGGTATCTGTATGGCACCTTTTACGGTGAGACAAATTCATTCCTGATAACATGAAAGCAAAACGTACCTCGCTTTGTCCTCATCTTCTCTCGCCGTGCATTGCACTGATGTCAACCGCCCGATATTCAACACGACTTCTGCTATCGACCACGAAAGTAACTGCGTGCTGTTATTGGATGTCTACCGAAAAAAGGAACTACTTTTTTAGCGCAACGAGAGGCTTGTGCATTTTTAGTACGATATGGGCTCAGCAAGGTCACTTCGGAAAAACAAAATTGAAGTGCATATTGTTTGTAGACCTCCAAGGATGTTTCATATACATCGGGGCAAACAACGTCATTTCATAGCACAAACAATGACGGAATATAATCAGATCTTTGAACAGAGGGGATACACAAGAACTGCGCCAATTTTCAGTGTACAGCATTAATAAAACTGGTCAACAAACATTTTTTATTCAGAGATGTAAGGAAACTTCTATGTGACTATTTTGGGGCTTATTCTGAATCGAGCACCTCCATTTTCAAAATAAGAATGCAAATGATAATTGATCTACATCAGATCAACATGTGCAGAACACCAACAGCCCCTCACCAATAGGAGTAGCTGGGGGCAGTCATTCCATCCTTGCAAATCCACCCCTCCCTACCGAGCACTTCAACACCAGTGAGACATCGTCAAAGGAAGAACACAGAACACCATCGAATTCTGCCCTTGGTCTAAGTAGAGTCCAGCGCAAGGTCGACAAGAACTCCCACTTGCTACTGAAACGACTCTGGAAGATCCCAAAAGTCATCTGGAAAAGAGGGAAGGTGGCGCAGCTGTGGGGATGTGCAGAGAGCCTCTGGATGCCCAAGAAGAACTGCAAGAAGACCGATCAGTTCAGAATAATCTGACTACTGAGCTGAGGAGGGAAAAATCTTCTTCAGTATACCGTAGTAGGAAGGCGACTGACCACTTTGCTCCCGAGTAACAACTACATAAATACATCTGTGCAGAAGGGCTGGGATAGCTAGAGTCCCAAGTCATCTAAAACACCCAAGCGTGGTGACCCAGCTCATCCGGGAAGCTCGTGAACACAAAGGAGACTTTACAGTCCTGTGGTTAGACTTAGCCATTGCATACGGCTCCATTCCCCACAAGCGGGTCCAGATCGTCATAACCAAACATCGTATGCAACGCCCTGTTGCAGATTTGAATGTGGATTATAACAACAACTTCAGGATGAGACGTCGGAAACCAGACGTGGGAATAATCACAGAGGCCGCACCATCTCAGTGATCTTGTTTGTCTTGGCAATGAATATGCTTGTCAAGTCAGGAGAGCCTGAGTTTTGGGGTGCTGAAGCAGAAAAGGCATTCGTCAGCTGCCCATCAGGGCCTTTATGGATAATTTGACAGTCACCGCGATACGGGTGGATCCTCCAAGAGCTGGATGGAAACCCTCATCCGGTGAGCTCGAATGGAATTCAAGTCGTCCAAGTCCCCTAGTGACGAAGAAGGGCAAGATCACAGCCAGGTTGCATTTCAACATCGAAGGGATGAGGAGAGCTGTGCTGTCAGAGCAGCCCGTGAAGAGTTTGGGCAAGGTCTTTGACAGCAGCCTCAAAGTCAACCTGCCAAGATCTGGAAAGCTGGTTGAGAGCAACAGACCAATTTTGCTTCCCTGGCAAATTTAAAGCATAGATTTACCAACGTAGTATATCGTCGAGAATACTCTGGCCGCTATTTGTGTTTGAGGTTTCCCATATCCACTGTGGAGACCCTGGAGAGGAAGGTCAGCAGCTGTCTCAGGAGGCGGTTCAGGTCAAACAGCAATACTGACTCCAATGACCCGAAGGTGTTTCGGGCAGGAGTGGAAATGAAGACAGTAAGGAAGTGGAGTGTCATAACCAGATGCTGAAACCGATTGTCGACACCATCAGGAAGGAGATCAACAAAGCAAGCCGAGGAATTAACACCACTCGTGCAGTCGAGTTTGTTAGGGCAGGACAGCAGCGGTGAAGGCACCAGCAGGAATCCGGGCATCAATCAAGGACTGAAAACTTTCTGTTGATCTGTAGAAGCACCTAAAATTCCCCCCTGCACAGTGTCAGCATAACTCTGAGACCTGATATCCTCCCTATTCTCAGACAGCACCAAGAATATCATACTCATGGAACATCACCGAAGCAGCTGAGAAAGCCTGGAGATGACTCTAGATCTGAAGAGGAGAACCAGGGGGACAAGCCGAGCCACAGCCGCAGCCTGATCAACCGCGGCTGGGTCGCCTGGACGAGGGTGTCCGATGTCGAAAGATCTGAAACACCCGAGGACCTCAGGCTACATCTCCGATGATGTGTTCAAGTACATCAGAAGATGTGTTTCAAATTACAACGGATGGTCAAATCTGTATCGTGCAAGCTTTTATAGGTCAAAATGAAAAAATAAAAACACTTATGTGATAGGAAAAAAAGAAGTAAAGACAATTTTGAATTCAGCATCAAAAATATGTTTTGGCAGATATTGAATTTGAGGCAATATCATGAGGAGAGATCTTTTCTATAATCTGTTCTCATCGGCACAATTTCTTCAAATGTTTTTGGGTTATTTTATTGTCGTTGTCTATGTGCAAAATAATCAAACAAATAAAGCCAACTCTGATTAAAATTGGCTGTTTACCAAGGTAACAAAACTTTTCTTGATCATGTTATAGGTGTTTTAATTTGACACTATTTTTGCACAGATGTAAAACTGTTCCGGACCACAAGAGGTGTTTTACGCCTTATAAAGTGATAAGATATTAAAAACGCATTTTGCTATACAGTAATATACACGACTGCAAACTACAACTACAATTTCAAACATTGTCAACAACGTAATACCATCAAATTGCATTTAATGTGCAGACACAGCTAGTGTCAGATATGTACATTTTCCCCCTGCATTTGTAAAACTGGACCTAACTATTCATGTATTTCACTGAAGTTAAATGTATTATGAAGGCTAACAGATCATTTGTGATCTCACCCCAGCGGGCGTTCCAGAGAGGGCTGAACGGGCCTGCGCTCTGTCCCAGGGTGCAGCTGGGCACCAGGCTTTCTGACACCCTCGAAGGAGTTCCAGCATAGTCATTTTCCTCCTGCTTCTCCTCCACGGGATGGATGTTGACCCGTTAAATGGACTGTGACTCTCCCTGGAGATAAATGCAATACATGCATGGAACTGTGTGTACTGGGCAATGCGTGACTCAGGCACATGAAAATAAATGCCAAAAAATGTCCATAAAACAGGTTCGGTGATTTACTTATTTCTGATTTTAGGGTGAGGAAAATTTCTACTTACATGTTTTTGGGCAACTTCAGTTCACGTCGATACACACGCTCTTCTATAATTGCAAAAGTCTCCACATGATGCAATCCTTTCTTCCTTTCTGCATGGCACAATTTATTTCAGCAGGGACTAAAATGGGAACCTCGGTCTTTTATCAAAGATTGTCCGAGAACCCCACTGGTAAATGTTTTGTCCCCTGCACATGGTGCTGCTGCCTATTGTTGCACTTGCGTTGCAACATGTGAAACGGTTCAGTTGTGGTCTGTCTACATGTGGTTAGCCCAGCATTGGAAGTGTGTTCAGAACAGGAAAAAAAAAAAGTTTCGACTGCACGTTGGTCATAGAGAAACGTGAGATATTGCGTGGTGTTCCGATAAAGGCAGCAATGTTGTTTTTTTTTCATACAAATTTACCATTGTCAAGTCAAAGTTATGTAATAGTCTGTATAACATTAGTTATTTCCCCTTTATCTAGAAAATGTTTAGTGCTCTTGAGTTTACACCTAAAACATCCAACAAGCGCAAAAACTGATACACGAGATATACACGACATGCACAAAATGTTGGGCACACCTGGCATTTAATTATCCCCTGGGGAGGTGAAGATTGTAGCAAATTTGATACTTCGGCTCCTTTTCACAAGTCTAATAGTCATGCTAAAAGACAAAAAGGCCTTCCTCTTAACATTATCCAAAGAGTTGAAATTCTTGAATGTCTTTTTAGGGATGACTGATTACAATTTCCTATGTTTTTGTGTGAACGGCACGGTGGCCAAAAGCAGGGGTGTCAAACATATGGCCTGCGGGCTGGAACCAGCCACCAAGGAGGTTCGATCAGGCCTGTAGGATAATTTAAGTGAAAAAATGCATAAAAGACAGGAAATGAATATTTTTAATAAGGTGCATTATCATGGATTATCCTCTAGGGGACACACTATTTTAATCAGAGAAGACAACATTGTTTTGATCAGACAACAGCAGTCTCAGTCTGTCACTGAGAAAGACCCAACACAGCAGGCCCTATCAAGGACGTGAATACTTTATTCCTTACACATTTAATAGCACTCTCCTTAGTTTGTAAGGTGTAGGCAGGAATTTAATTTAGATTTTACATGCACGTGTCAATGGTTTAAAATTTCTTTCTTTATAAATCTCGTTTAATCTTAAAGTGCATGACTATATTTTTCAATACCAATTACTTGTTCAAGTTTTGTGCCTTTTTACAATCAGTGGGATCTGTTGCAATGGATATATGTGAATGACAAAAGCAAATTGCACATTTGTCTAAGGAAATCTATGGTGTTTCATGAAATGTTTTGTAAAAAATATGTTCTTGAAATGTCAACATTTTCCCAATGTTCTTGTGCTTCTTTAGACCAAAACAAAGGAAAGACATGGTATTTTGGTCATTTACAGCAGAGTATGGTATAATTTTAATGGTCCGGCCCACTTGACATCAACTGAGGCCGGATGTGGCCCACAATGTGAAATGAGTTTGACACCCCTGGCTAAAAGTCCTCGAAAGAGTTTGACCAACACTTCAATGACAGAAGAAACACTCAGAGTTTTACAAAGATAAAATTTATTGCCAGTCATTTTGTTTTCATGACTTTTTATACGCAAGTTAAGATTGTGTAAACTCATCAGATGTTACTGCTCCTGTGTCACTCCTAACTATGTTATTATTTCATGCAACACTACGCTGTTCAATATGGCAAATGAATATAAATTAAAATAATGAATACCTTTAATTAGAAACGGACATTTGAAAATTTCACTTCTTCCTAATATTGCACACGTATATTAACCATCCACCATGTTTACTTACAAGACGCTGTTAGTCTGTGATATACTATAACTGTGTGGGAACCATCCCAACTTGTTAGATGGTTACATAAATTGATGAAGAAACAAACAAACATTAAATGATTGGGCGAACATTTTCCCAGCTTGCCACTCTTGTAATAAATATATTACCCTCCATGGTCTAAACTAGGTCAACTTCCTGTGTATTGTTCAAAGCAGGTGAAAAATCTCACAGTTTATTGTAGTCAAAACAACCCGTACAGACGACAGATAGAGCTGTGTGATGTGATAGACCACATTAGCATTCAGAGAGAATCAGAAGCATGTTATCTTAATTGAAGTGCAAAAAAACATATTTACAAAAGCATGGGATGTGAGAGGAATTCTGGGAGCATGTTGGTCTGCAGTGGAAGCTTCAGCTGTAAACAATAAATAATCAGAATTTACGAACAACCTCCAATACCGCCACGACTTGCAAAAGACGACGCTTCTCCTTACATTACGGATGAAGAGCTTGCACCTTTGCTCTCACTTGACTTGCTCTCCTCCTTGTCCTGACTGTCGATCCTGGCGTGCTCTCGCTTCACTAATTCTTCCAACTCCGCCTGTAAACAAGAGACAATTTTATTTTTGTGGCTAATGCTGATGTCAATGACACACAGAGCTATAAATGTGTTGCAATGAGAGCAGCGCAGTGCTGGTACGTCCGCAACATTTGTTTTGCTAACATGCGTTGTTTCGAATAGCGGGGAAGATTTTGTGTGCTTCTAATGTATATTGAAATACTGTCGACTTGCGACTTTAATTCACTTGTAACACTTACACTTGAATATCAAATCGGTGTTGGCCATTTGAAATGAATTGAAATCCCATTATTTTCTTCTATCCCTGGCTTGGATGGACAAAAATGGACAGCCGTGTTTTTCCACAGGACAGGGACATTATGTAACATGACACTTTTAAAAAAAAGGTTCCAAGTGACAAAAACAAATATGAAAACAAATAGCAGATGAAATGGAAAGTACAAGAGTTGATATTACAGTTAGACATATAAACTTACCTTCCATCCCAGCAGGTCAGCTAGTGCCATACAGCCATCATCACATGTAGTGATATGAGCAACATCTCTGGTGAGGGAGAAAAGGCCACAATATATCATTTATACAAGTGGTTCCCAAATACGACCGGTATTTGGGTATTGTGGACCAGCACCGGGCGTGGCCCAACATTGCGTCAGCCCCTGACAACTCCCCCTAATCCATCGATTACCTTCCGAAGGGCAATATTAAGTAGGGCTGAGTGATTATATGATTGAAAATGGTGGGCAGCTATGAGCATGTTGACTCGATCAGACGCGGAGGAAATGTGAGTGCCTGTAGCCAATCAGAGTCCAGCTTTTCCTTTTCACTTTGGTTTGCAAGTTGAAGTAAACAGAATGCGCCAAAAAAATGAAAGAAGCAGTAAACGGAATGTAATCGTGACGAGGACAGAACATGCAGCTGATGGGCTGCCATGACTTGGCGTCATCTTCCGAAGATGAAGATATTTTGTCAAGAGAAGTTCCTTCCCATCACTTTTGTCAGGGTACCTGCAGAGTATCGTGTAGGATACCGTTGTGCAAACTATGTCGTCAAAAACAAGGAAATACAACAAAACCTGTCGAATCGTTTGAACAAGTAGCACGCAAGTGGAAAGAAAACATTTGAAAGCAGTTCAGCCGCTAATAACTCGCTGGCAGCCACCGGATGAAAGCAGCCAAGCAGGAATCAATCGTGTCATCTTTTGATCATGCACATTTGTATGTAGCAAAGATGTTGACGTCGTATGTAGGGTCATAACTTAAAAATTATGTTTACATTGTTTATTTGCTGTACTGTTGAATAAAAAAAGTTAAAAATTATTGAAAAACATATACATTAATAAAATGTTGTAACAATTCTTAAAAACTGTTGCTTTGTTTCCAAGCAGAGAGTGAATGAAGCATCTTCAACGATTGCTCCATTTTTTATTTAGAGACCAACGTGGTGTCTATTTATACACATCTATGATGGAGCAGAAGGAAACCACAAACTTGCACAAACTGTTTCTCACTGTTACAGTTTCCCTTGGAGGACCGTTATGACTGAAACAATACCTAGAAGTCAACAATAACGGTTTATTCCCCAGTTGTTTAAGTTACTGTAATGATTTGGTAACAAGAAAATGCTTATAATATCACTCTTATTTATTACAAATGAGAATTTGAAATTTTGGACGAGATTTTTGCTAGCATCATGAAAGTTGACAACTTTGATTTGCTTTCGTGGGCCACATACAATGATGTGGCGGGCCAGATCTGGCCCCCGGGCCATGAGTTTGACACACGTGCATGAAGTCAATGAGTTTACAATGACACTTCCAATACATTTGTTTATTTATAATTTTATCTGTGGTTTTATTGTTCTTGTTTTGATTGTAAAGTGTCCTTGAGTGTTTTGAAAGGCACTTATAAATGTAATGTATTATTATTATTATTATTATTATTTGTCCGTGATAGAATCCAGCCAAATTATCGTGGTCACGGTTGTGATCCGGACTAATTGTGGCATCTAGCAAGTGAACGTATCATAAATAACTGTCATTATCAAACATCCAGGCCAAGTAAATGCGACCAAATTCAAATTGAGTCCTGTTTTTCTGTTTTTTTGTTTCAAGTGTCCAGATTGAATTTTCCTTGAAGAATCCAATTGACATATTTGGCCACTTATATATTTCTTTGAATGTGTCCGCTTTCTGTGAGCTACTTCCCCTTAGTCCGAGTTAGTGTTGACGGAAAAACACAATCATGTTACCTGTAAGCTTTGTCTGAGTTAAAGTCCATTCCTCCACCAAAACCCAGCAGACCTAATACAGGATCAGCCTGCGCACACAAAATGACTTTGTTCAAAAAATAGCAGACGCACAATTAAAACTATAAGAAAAATTGACAATAAAGTTGTATTCAATTAAAAAAAACGGAAATTAGTGACCATACACTGCACCTGAGATCGTCGATTTACAAGAGTCCCGACACGATCAGAAACGGTGCTCAGTTAATTACTTTGTGCACAAAAAGACATGCTTAGTAACCATCTTACTGATACTGACTTTCAATTGACTGTTGTATAATTCTGGCCTAGAAGTGCTTTTCACAAACATTTATTGTAATAATAACTTTAGTACTGCATATTTCCACCACATAGGCTAGAAATTCAGGTTACATTGCCCCCTTAGAAACATAAACCCACTGTTAAGCCAGGGCCCCCTGTACAAGGACTGAAGCTCACCTGGCCTGCTTTTTCCATGTTGATGAGCAACCTTGGGCAGCTTTTTGATACCCTGAGTAGAACAAAGCAAGAGAGATTGCCAAATGTTTAAAAAAAAGTTAGAATTGCCTCAAAGTTGCTTGATCAAGTCTGAGTTTATGGAAGATGAACCCTTGTACCTGCTAATCAGACTTGCAAAAGGCTGAACCTGCAGAGATGTCCCCATGATGATGAGAAGATCACAACGTGGGAAGTCCTGGAGGAGCAAAAAGGCAATGAACGCAAACGCAATGCGACATATCATTTCTAAAAAATGTACAGTATGTGTACTTGGTAGCTACCACATCAGCTCACCATCTTCATTGATGTGAAGAACCGGACTGGAAGGCTCTCTCCAAAAAAGACAATATCTTGGTATAAAGAAAAGATGAAGCCATGAGCGGAATGGGAACCATGTAATGTCGACTTGGAACCAGTTCGCGAGCTACCGGTCGATTTGCGATCGACTGGTTGGGCACCCCTGCTCTAAATTGTCCCGAGGTGTGGGTGTGAGCGCGAATGGTTGTTTGTCTGTGTGCCCTGCGACTGGCTGTCAACCAATTTAGGTAAAAGTACTTGCGAAGAACAGAAGAATACCACAGGAATTAAAGGAGGATAAAGAGGAGGATAATAGACAAAAGAGGATAAGAACTGACCTGGTTTGACCAGACTGTTGCATTTTTCACATTTGGGAATATCATCAGAAAAGATTCTTTCTACAAACAAAACAAAGAAGTTTTAGCCCCTCCAAAAAATGTAAGTCCAACCAAGTAACAAAGGTTAAGCGTCCTTAGGTCTCTTGAAAGGCTATATATAAATATGAATTTTTATCATTTTAAAAGGTAGGGAAAAAAAGACACCTTTCATCCAGTCCAAGTTGTACTCTTTGCGGCAAGTGAATTTGACGCAGTGGGATGTGAAAAAGGTTCCGTGGGCTTCAATTAGATCCCCACTCTCGAGCCCGGCCACTCGCTCCAGGGTGTCAATATTCTAAATGATCACCAACACATCAATGTCAATAAAGAAAGAGGGTGGGAAGTGCCGTTTGTTCAGTGAAGACTGCGAGTGTGTTGATTTTCCTGCCTGCGTGTAACAGCGCCTGAGGAGGCCTTTGTCCTTCAGCAGCTTCATGAAGTAGTGACACACGGTCGGCTAATACACAAGGCAAACAAAAGAGAACAAATGCCACAAAAAATCTATTTCATTGCTGACATAATTTGAAAGCATTTACCGTATTGGCCCGAATATAAGACGGCCTTGATTATAAGATGACCCCCTCTTTTTCAAGACTCAAGTTTGAAAAAAGACTTTTTGAACACCAAATTAATTTTTATACAGAAAATAATTACAGTACATTTGAAACAAATGATTATAACAATATATTTGAGAGAAAAAGCATGTTATTTTGCCTCATTCAAATCTAAATCACATTCGTAAATTAATGGCTTCTGGTTTTTGAAATGTAAATTACATCATAACTTCTCCTCAGCTTGCCGGTTAACCTGGCCGATCTTTGACCCACTTTTCTCCAGATTGTCACTATGTTTCTCTATTTTCCGTTATCTCTTCTATTATTTTCTTCTCTTTTCTTTCTTACCGCTATTTTTTATTTTTCTTCTTCGTGCTACCGCTATTTTTATTTTTATTCTTCGTGGCTGGGGTTCACTTTGGCCTGGGGAGTCAAGTTCATCATTGCTTCATTGAGATCTGGCGCCATCTACCGTCGTGAATGGGTACAATGTCTAGACCCCGAATATAAGACGACCCCCACTTTTTCAGTCTTATTTCAATGCAAAAAACACCGTCTTACATTCGGGCCAATACGGTAGAACAGGGGTCACCAACGTGGTGCCCGCAGCCACCAGGTAGCTCCCCAAGGACCTTCGCATTAATCAGTACCCAAGAAGTAGCTCTCAGCTTCAAAAAGGTTGGTGACACCTGATTTAGAATATACTCTAGTATTTATTGTGACCTCCTTGGCAGCGTTATACAGTATGCTCTACCTTAAACTGTCCTGGATAAAGCTCCTTGGCCAAGGCAAAGAAAGGTTCTGGATGTTTCTAGGATGAAAAAGGAAATTGGGTAAGTGAAGACCAAAAATATACTGCTCCAAGACATATAATATGATTAAATGCGAGTGAGAGGGATATGTGGTGACGATGGATATATTATATTATTTTAGCTGTCTGAAGTAATGTCAAGTTATAATGTGATGTTTTATTCATCTGCTTCTTTTTAACTTCAAAAATAAATCAACAAACAAACTGACCTTGAAGTAATCTATTTGGAAGATGGCTTCCGGGTAGGGCAGGTTATATTTCTGCAGGTTTGCATACAGCCCAGTATCAGGTGAGCGAAAATCGGGAATCCCAGCCGCTGTAGTTGTACAGATTTAAAATGATGGCCTCCAGTTAAAGTACATTATCACCATAGTTGTCTAATACTACTACATGTTTTCTTTCTGTCAGATACTCACATGTGGATATACCTGCTCCAGCCATGCAGATGATGTTTTTACCTGTAAGGAGCGCCTCTCAGTAAGTCTATTTATAACAGTCGGTTGAGGGGAAAGTGCATAAATGGAGACTCACATTTGCCACTCAGAATGTATTTGGCGACTCCTTCCAAAGTCAAGTCATCCAAAACCTTTTCTGGGGATCCGATGCCCAGAGTGTGGGAGAACAAGTTCCGCAAGAAATCCACTGGCAGGATAATAGATCATTAATCATCTCTTCTTAGGTACTCTTTGCATACCTTCGTGTGCATGATCTAGTTCTCTTTCCTTCAGGTTACGTAATTGGTATACAAAATTGAAAAAAAAAAATTTGAGCAAAAAAATATGTTACTGAAAAACGAAACAATGACAAATGTTTCCAATAAATTCTTCATGAGAAAATAATGAAGGGTGGGAGTAATTTCACTGAGATTATATACATCATAAATCAAATAAATTCATGAGAATGAAATTTAACAACTCGGAAATAAACGTGAATGACATACTCTCAGAGTTCCCAGCCGCTTCCTCCTCACTGCTGTCTTCAGATTGCTCCTGCCAGAAAAACACAACCATTTTACCAGTGATTATATCTGTAGCAAATCTAGTCCGTTAAAACCATTCCGGGTATCATGTTTATGCGGGATCATCGAAGAAACAAAACGTTGGAGGCTAAACGGCTCATCACACGAAGAGCAACCACCCGGATGAAAAAGTGGCGATTCAAGCTGGACACGTTTTGTTGTAGATACTGCATATTTTATTTTGAATGACTTACAAATTCACTCTCCGTTTTTCCCGTTGTAAACATTAAAAAGTGTGTTGTTTTCGTAATCTGTGCGGTCAAGACTTAGCCGTGTGAGCTCCTGTCAGCGTAGCTGTCAACAACGATAGAATGATTTTGTGACTTCATCGTTATTATCTACCTCTGGTTCAGATGTAGTTTCCTCCTCTTCTTTGTTGTTTGGAGGCTCTAAGAATACAAACCAAATATTCAAGTGAAGTTTGTTTGGAATGACACTTCGCCAAACTATAAAATGCTGGTTAGCTAGAGGGGCGAAACAACGTCTAGCATCAACTATATCAAGAGCCAGTATTGGAATCACGGGTATCCTACCTGATGTCTCAGACATTTATTCGCTTATGGAACACTTTCAAGGACTAGGATCTAAATGACATTCGTTGTAAACCCCGAAACTGTTTTTTTACGCCGTCGTGACAGGTTTCAACTCGGGTACTTCGCCGTCATCAGCTGGCTAGTTTGCCTGTGTTGTTGTCCGTCACAAAACATAATCCGCCAGTCGAGCTACCAAATACGTCTATTGGTTCCTACATGAGCAGTTTGTTTTTTTTTCTTTCCCCTTAATAGTTGTGAAAATTGATATAATGTATATAATGCAACATATAAAACATGTATTCAAATACACTCCAACAAGCGTCACAGTTGAAATAGATTCCGCACACGATGGAAGGAACAAATCTCGTCAACGCACTGAATGGAAAAACTGCGAATATTGCTCTCAGCAGAATGTTGCTGTTGATGTGATTTACTGTATTTATCAAACTCGCGTTTTCTTCGTTCCCCTCGTCTTCACTTACTCTCTGCATGTTCAGTGTGAGTCCCAAAACCGTTTACAGGCTTTAAGGTTCATTTATAATTTTGCAGATTGTAGGTAGACCTTATTACCTATTACCATGCTTGACAAGAATTGCTGTTTGTATTGCCCAGTTTTGACTGATATTAGAAGGATTATTATATATATCTCCATACATTATTCTTTTTCTTGAAGAAGGCACTGAACCCCCGAATTGCTACCTATTAATCACCTAATGCATGCTGTGTGGAGTACAGTGTCCCCCATAATTATTGGTACCCCTGCTCAAGATGTGTGAAAACCCCTCTCTCTCTCTCTCTCTCTCTCTCTCTCTCTCTCTCTCTCTCTCTCTCTCTCTTTCTCTCTCCCTCTCTCTCTCTCTCTCTCTCTCTCTCTCTCTCTCTCTCTCTATATATATATATATAATTTTTATTTTTTTTAATTGCAGAAGCATATTCTCAGATTGACAATTGTAATAATTCTGTAAAATCCTCCCATGGCAATCACAGTATCCAGGCCTCAAACCCATCCTCTTTCCCCCTCAGTGTTGTATTTTCTTATTACTTTTTTTTTTCCAATTATGAGCTGTCTAATGATGTAGCCTGCAATTGTAGATGCAATCTGACTTGTCTTCATGGCCTAAGGCAGTGGTTCTTAACCTGGGTTTGATCGAAACCCAGGGGTTTGGTGAATCTGTCTCAGGGGTTCGACAGAGCCTCTGCCGTGGAGGTGAAGACACACCCGACCGACTCAGAATGTCAATTCGTGATGAAACGCCCGCTTGGCCATCACTGGCTGCAGATGATCACATGACATTGCTTGTCCAATCAGTGCTGCGGGAAATTTAGTTCGCTCTGTAGTCAACGTGTGATTGTCGTGATAGTACGTCGTGTGATTGTTTTAAAAATAATGTTTTAATACATGCTTACCATGTCGAGCAAAAAACCCCAAAGCGGTCGGACGAATATGTACCACATGGATTCACATGCATCACGGAACGTGATGGGACTCGGTATCCTATCTGCATGATTTGTCATGCCAAGTTGAGCAACTCTAGTCTCGCACCGGCAAAACTGAATCAGATTTTTATTTTTCAGCAAAGAAGGGTTTGATGAATGTGCATATGAACTGGTTGGGTTCGGTACCTCGAATGAGGTTAAGAACCACTGGCCTAAGGACTCAAATATTAAGGTCACGCATTTACAAATAATATAATGAATCAAATCAGATCAGATCAATCTTTATTGATAACATACTGTACACAGTTATGAAACAAATAACTTGATTTTCAAATCAAGACAAAATTCTCCTTCCAGACAAAAGTAAAGATAACACATGCAGTATTGTAGATCGAATTGGATTCATCTAATATGGATGGAAACCAACAAAGATGCTTCATTCCCCCTAGCCTTGACTGCGCTCTTCCTCAACTTCTTCTGGCTTTAAACTGTGATCATAACCAGACGCAATGACCTCACATTGTGGCAACATCTCCTCTAGCAGGATGATCACCAAGCCAGGTGTCGAAATCCTTGGAAGGGATGACACATCCAGACGCCGCAGTCCCCTGCAACATGAAGGTTGCAGAAAAAAGGAACATGTAACACAACAGGAGTGATAATTTACATTTGCAAGTTAGTTGAAGGTCTCTCCCATGAAATTACTTGAGATTCCTCAGGGCAGCCAGGCCGCCTGGGGTGATCTGTGGACAATGAGAGATGTCCAGCTCCTCCAGAGAGTCCTGGAACACATGCAGCCGAGCCAAGAACCAGTCATCCACCTCAGAGCATCCTCGTACGGACAGAGTCCGCAAAGATCGCTGTGCCTCTGAGAGAGAACGAGTATCAAGCACACTGATAAAGCTCAAACTAATACACAAAGCAGCACATAAGTAAGGAAAATATTATAGTATGTGAAAATGCCCAAACTGCAATTGGGAAAAGACATATAAATACTCGTACCCAAGTTGGACAGTCCAGTGTAGTTGATGATGGTGTAGCTCATGTCTACTTCCTCAAGAGGTGTGTCTTTGTGATTCAAGAAGTCCCAATTGAACTTGCCCTTATGGTCTGCACGGAACCATTCTGAATGGCCAACAAATCTGAGGACACACAACAGACATGCAAAGAGGATTGAGCATTTCAGAAAAAATAAATGCTGTCATTTTTTTTCCAAATCAATCATTATATTATATAGTATATCATACAATATCTGCTATAGATTATACAGCGACAAGAAGACTACAACTACAAAAAGCTCCAATTTTGTCTCATTTAGAAGCTTTATGGCAGGTCAATGGGCTTTTTGGGGGGGAAATGTAAGTTTTGTCAGCTTCACGTTATTTCAGTGACCATTGTGGGTTTTTCTTTCGATGATGAAAGGGAACCAACAATATAGCCTCCATTGTGGACACGAAACCGTGAAAGCCGCAGAACGACCTCACTGCTTGTCATTTGCAGGATGAGGCAAAAAAACATTATTTCAACATCTAAGTTTTTTTTAATCTTCTTTCCATACAGTACACAGCAAGAAACACCCTTTTCAAAATAAGAAAATGGTACGGACTTACCGAAATCCTCCTTTCAAACACAACACAAAGTAGGCTGCTGCAATGTCAACACCGTAAAGGCCCTGAGTGTAGCTGTAGTAACTGAGACAGAGACGCAGGTTCAGATTCAGCTTTGCAACTTCAGAGTGAAAATTCACACTGAATCATGTGACCTTCTCAGTTTTAATATGCATGTTCCATGTTTCAGTACATTTTGCACAACTTTGTTTTTAACATGGAGCTGAAAATTCACAACAGCTGTTTGATACTTAAAAATGCCCAAGGACGTCCATTTGTGGAGCTCTCTGTGACTCTTCCAGTGCCTTTATGGCCACCGCCTGATCACTATAAGCTCAGTGGCCGTGTCACTCTGAAAACTTTTTGAAAGCCTGTTGAATTTTGCCATTCAGCTCCTAGCTAGAGAACAGAACGTTGGGCAAAAAGCACTGAAACACTAAACAGTTGGACATGTGTATCGAAAACTTTACGAAGGTCAAATTAAGTTCAGCAATAAAGGCTGTAGCATAGCCTACAGATTAATGAACATTTTCTTACGCATTTTTTCTAAGCAACTTTCTCCTTTTCATGCGAGACTTCCACCTGAGGAGCACCTCGAAATCAGAGAAACGCTGGGTGAGGATGAGGAGCAGTCTCCTGTGCATGGGAGGCGGGCTCGCAGGGCTGGAGCTCCAAGGTCGCCTAGCAACTAGGAGCCGAGATGCCCGCTGGCAGCACCCGAGTAGAGACTAGTGAGCAGACGTACCGCAAATAAGTTGCTATCCACACAATTAACGATACACGTTGCGGCAAAATGTAAACACAACAACCTTGCACGACAGTGTATGTTTTGGGAAGTCAGCTAAGAGAACGCCACCACGAAGGCGGCAAAAGCGGCACAAGCGTTAAAATACTGCCACTAAACGTGCCATTCGATAGATGAATATAAACGTGTGATAAATATTTTGGACTCAAGTAAATAAAACAAACAAACGTGGAGGGTAACTTACCACCAAGGAGGAAGCCATGCTTCGGTTTTCTACAGAAACTCACGAGGGTCAAAAATATCTGCCTGCGTATGAGATAGTTTGTGTCTTGCCCACTAGGTGTCGCCACAAGCACGTATTTAGGTACTTTGAACCGTCTCCGTTAGAGTTTCCAACAAACATTGACTGGTTTCGGAAATGACTCCCTATCCATTTTACAGGGCCTTGAATTGTGAGTTCGCAGTTTGGTATTGCCATTTGAATGTTTAGTGAGTGTACGTCATCCCCGAAAAACAGGTCACTGAAATGGTAGTCCCCTGAACAACATAACTTTCCATCAGGTCTATTAAAAAAATAGCTCACCAGTACCAGTAATCTATTTCAAATGTATTTTGTGTGGCCGAAAAATAAATTCATGAATCAAATTTAAAAAATAAAACAGTGCCACTTATCAGTCAGCTACATCTAATATTTGTTGTTGCTTTCCTTATTTAAATCACACCTGCTTTGGGGTAAATTTGGAAATGTGGGAAAAAAAAACTACCACAGGTCAGTGTAGTGCATGCCCAAAGCATAGCATTCGTGGCGACATGTAAATAAGTGCAAAAACAAAAATGAGGAAATGATTTTCCTCAAAATAATTTGAGCAAAGTTATTATTGAAGAAGTGTTTATCAACATGGCAGCTCCTTTGAATTAATCAGTACCTAAGAGAAGTGATGCCTCTTTAAAAAAAGGGCTTGTGACCTCTGCTCTTGAGACACAAAGGATTATGTAAACTGAAAAGTAATGAACTGATGGTCATTAGAAAAGCAATACCTGTATATCCTATGATGCATCGTGCAGATAAAGATTTTCCATTTTTGGGTTATTGTTTGAGTTCGAGCACAAGACAAAATATTTTAAGGTAGTGTGATATGTCACAAGACCGATGGGCAATAAGTGTTTTGTTTGTGTTCATTTTATAAAATACACACATAGTAAACTGAAGCAATATAATATTTGTATTATTTAGTTACTAGCTTAAAAGTTCTTACTGAAGTTCAATGGAACGTCATAAAATATGTGATTGTAATAAGCCAATTAATGGAACACCTGACTAGTATCCAAAAACGAGTTATCATTTGACTGATGAATGAAGCAGATAGTGAAGTCCTCTTGATAAAACCAAT